ACATTAGAATAACAACTTAAAATTTCTTGTAATTTTCTATAACATTTTTGGATGCATAGAATATTATTGAAATATTATAAGAGGTTGCAAGAAATTTTAAGTTGTTATTATACTGTAAACAAAGTGGATAACTCTTAGAATTTTTAATTTTAAATGGTAAGAGTATCTGGAGTGAGAGATAAATTTACCCTCTCGCATGTTATTGAAATAACCATGTTCATTGGCACTCCAGGTACCCTGAAAAGATAAAAAAATGCGATGTTTACTGGTGACTGCCAGTTAAATTTTGTATTTTACTTCCTAGTTAAGAAGTTGGTATAATTTATATTATCGATTTAAGAGTTCCTGTAGTTTTTGCTTGCTATTATTTTTTTGTTTGCGAATCCAATTTTTACCGTAGATCACACCCATTCTAAGCCATGTCTTATAAACTAATTGGGGATCTGCTGTATATAACGATAGTTTTTTTATTTTTGCATGATTTAGAGGGGGTCTGTTACTTATGTCCTCTACTGTATTTAGATATTTTTTTAGTTTAAACTGCATAACGAACCCTAATTCTAATGCACAGTATAGTTTCCATTGATTTCTATTAGTGTCAAAACATGGCTTTTCATATTACTGGCCAATTTCATGATAAGTTTATAGGGATTCATTTACCAACCATCCAAATTCGAAATCTATTACAACAGTAGTAATGATTAATATCGCTATTAATTTATCATTAATTACCAATGAAAAATTGATTTTCATGTCAGAAAAATGAATCGTTCACTTTAGGACGTAATATCTCGACATCCAGCAATCCGCTTCAAACGAAAATATAACCATTCAATTCGTCTAGTCGAGACGAGTCGAATAGTAGTATTTTCGCTTGAGTGGATCGCTGGATGTCGAGATACTACGTCTCAAGTGACCGATTCATTTTTTTGCTAACGCCATCGGTGACGTTAGGACGCGATATCACAACATCCAGTGATTTGTTTCGTACAAAAATACTACCATTCGATTCGTCTCGACTAGACGAATCGAATGGTTGTATTTTTCAAGATATTGCATTCTAAGGTAAAATTTCATATTGCTTGTGAAGAGAGTCATAACGATAACAATGGTAAAAACTGATACGACAATGTTAAGGCATTGAAGATCAGCATTTGTGTTACTCTTCACGTGGTAAAATTTATCTTGAAAGTAATTGTATAAGGAAAGCAATTCTCGATATACGTACCATATTTTTCGACAATTAGTACTCCGGGTCTCTTACATTCTAGGGGCTCAAAATTGATTAGTACCCACCGAGTACTTTGTGAATAGGAGGGTATATTATACGGGGGATACTTAACATGGAAGTCGTAATTTTGGCCCGGATTACACTAGTTTTGGCCTGAATAATGCTAATTTCAGGAATTATGAAGGGGGGTACTTTACATTCTACTCAACTTGTAACCGAGATTAGTACCAGGGTACTTTATCAAGGGGATATTTTATCAAGGGGTACTAATTGTCGAAAAATACGGTAATTAGACGACATTACGTGATCTATTTTAGGTTTTGTCACGCGAAAACAGATTTTCATCTTTTCTTGTCGTAATTAGAAAGTCAGATAGAAAACTACATGTAATACGATTGTTTTGATGTCTTGTTTTACTTTATTAGCATTTCCTGATTTGTATCTACAGTGGACGCTGGATACAATAACATGATCGGGGGGAAGAGATTGGTGTTATTATATCGAGATGTTACTCTATCGATAACTACCATGAAAGCTTATTACAATAATGAGAGATGTTGTGTTATTATAACGAGATGTTATCTTAAGGTGTTACTGTAACGAGCGTTCACTGTATTTGTTTTTTATTTGTCGCAGTAGAATGAGAATTATCGTTATCGTTGGATTGTTTGCATTTCAGGGTAATTTATTAGTAATTTATTTACAGTCAAACCTCGTTATTATGACATCTCGTTATTAATGACCAAATAATAAAATCTCGTTATAACGTCATAATATAAAACATATAAATCTCATTATTATGATAATAAGAACAAAAATTATTAAGGAACCGGAGGGTGTCATAATAACGAGGTTTGACTGTATTCCAAAACAGGTTTATTATTTGCCGCAGTAGAATGAGAATTATCATTATCGTTAGATTGTTTTCATTTCGGGGGTAGTTTATTTATTCCAAAACAGGTTTATCGTTTTTGTTATGCAATTTTCTATTTTTTTTGTTATTTTTAAAAATACATGCATGTATCAGTGAAAAATGAAATGAAAAAATGAAAAGTTTTTTGTTATTTTTTTTTAAATTACATGTATCAGTGAAAAATGAGATGAAAAAAATGAAAAGTTTTTGTTATTTTTTATCAGTGAAAAATTAAATGAAAAAAATGAAAAGTTTTTGTTATGCAATTAAATTATCAGTGAAAAAAAATAATAAACCAATTAGGTATTTACAATTAATATGAAATGAATCAAAAAAAGAAGTTGGATTATTTATTGCGATAGAGAGCTTTATCTATCGATCATTTATTATTAGCACCCCCAAAAAAAATGTTCAAGTAATTTATCCACTATCACGCGGTAAAGCTAACAATTATTTTTCCTACGAAATATCGCTTTAAATAATCCACAGCATCTAGGATCGGTGATTTCGTCGTCTTCTTTATAAGTTTCTTCGCGTAGGCGGTCTACTGAAGCTCGTCTCGTAATTGATTTTCTGAATGATGTTATTCTGGATATTCTCGAAGAATTTTGCGATTTTAATTCAACTCTTCTGCTTTCTTGCGCGCATGCATTTGGTTTCGATACTGATTTGTTATCATTCATTTTCTCGTGCATGTCTGTCCTTATGTGAGTGAGTTTTTGTCTACGTATTTGTTATGTGTGCGAGAGATTTAAATTGAGGTTAACGTTAATAATATTATTTGCTATTCGTGATATTATGTCGAGGGTCTTTATCGTTATCAAATTTTAAATTTTGCAAAAAACATTTACCCCTCCAAACTACATTTAATTTATACTTATCAGAACAAGCACAGCCACTAACACACGACAAACGGAGGATGGTCCCTAAAATAAACGAGGTCGAAAAATGATTCTTTGATATATATACTTGTGTAATTGTTTATGCCTATATACAGGGTCACGTATTAAAAAAAAATATAACATCAATTCAAGATGTGGATAAAAGAAAAATGCATGCCTGTTAAAAATGGTTATTGTTTTATACACACATGCTGTGTCAACGCCTAGAATTCTATTTTATTATTAATCCTCAATACGATGGCGATAATGATCTTAACAAGTTTCAATAACTTTAGTATTGGTTTATTCTTTTATGATTTTCAGCCCGAGACTTATCATTCTAAAAGTTATAGAAAAATTACTTAATTTAATCACTGCAAGAATCTAATTGGTTGCCGTTTGCATATTTTTGTGACCCTCAATTTCTAAATTTCAAATACAGTGCATTATTAGAATTTCCCTTATTTTATCTGAAATCCGATGGAGGGATGAAACAGCGGATGCACACAATCAGAGATGAAGTCATAACGCTAAAAGGCTAAAAAAAAATAAATCACTTTTTTCATATATAACAAGAAAGCTTTATTTATATTAAATTTCGCCTATTTCGTCCATTTGCCTACTCAATAGAATAAATTAGATAAAATCATATTTATATTAAATTTCGCCTATTTCGCCCATTTGCCTACTCAATAGACTGAATTAGATAAAATCATATTCATTACCTGCATCACTATTTGTAAACAACTAAAGGAACCAAATATTTTGAATGTCGCATTCTAAAACAACAATACGTAATGAAATGCTGAATATTTATTGGTGTTTTAGAATGCGACATTCAAAATATTTGGTTCCTTTAGTTGTTTACAAAGTAGAAAAATTCAGATGTTCCAAAAAAATTAAAGTGTAAAATTAGATTTGCAAAATTTTAGCATCCAAAATAAAATAAATAATCTGATGGTGTGGTGATAACGGGAAAAGAATCTGAAATTTTTTTAAATTCCGAATGATGCAATAATGTAATAATACTAATAATAAATGTGGCGGATTAAAATGAACTCAGGTTAAAACGAAACAGAATGGGATGTTTAGATAATCATAGGTCAATCTATTGCAGATTTTAACGCTATATATACTTTATGCTCTAACTATTTTCTGAAATTTTTATCCCATAAAATGAGCCAAATTTTATTTTGATTTGATTTTGTGATAATTGATTTCATTTTAATCTGGTTTCGTTTTAATCTGTCATAATAATGATCTCGGGGAAGGGGTATATAGTTATTTTTGGAGATCAACTGATTTGCGAGAAGTCTTCGATATTCGGAATTTAGTAAATGAGGAGATCTTCAGTCTATCAAGTTTTCCCTTGACAGTCAATCACCCTAATTTGCTACAATCAAGTGTTTTTCATTATACCGATACGTATCGATATCGAGATTTTATGCATAACGAGTTTCGTTATATCGGGGTGCAGCAATGACTATTTTAGAAAACGTGGACCAATTAAATCATGATTTTGTTTTCTGTATGTTCTTTTCAAACTAAACCTTTTTTTATTGTTGTGGCGTTTCAGAGAATAGGTATAAATACCAACCATCCATACATTAAATATTATTAATTTGCAATATCTTAATTACGTACTCTTATTGCTCATATTTGCGCCAAAAATTCTGGCTTGTTAAGTTAAAACTTAGAAATTCATTATTATCGTTATCGTTATTGTATCTTTGCTCAGCAAAGTATAGCGATAGATTCTTTAATTTTCCTATCCAGTTTTGTACTAGTTATTGAAATTGTGTTCACATAAAAATGCGCGTATATAATTATGTATGTATGTATATATGTATATGTATATATGTATGTACGTATGTATGTATGAGTGCATGAACTATGTAAAAGTGTGTGTTTGTACAATGAAATGACGATAAGCATTTTATCATAAAGACTAAATCTTTCTCATATAGTATCATTCTCATCCCCAACAAACCCATCCAACAAATCCATCCTCGACCTTTTCTTGCACAATTCTACTGATAAACTTGCTTGCCTCCTCCGCCGATATGTGACTCTGAATCTGTACAGCACGTTCTTTCTGTTCTCCATTTTTATCGAAATTCCCATACCGAATACACGTGTTCACTCCCTCGATTGTGAAATCCCAAAATCTTGTGTCGGTTAATAAATGGCCGGATCCTGAACAGGATTTTGTGGTAGTGCTATATAGTCGTGCAAGTTTCTGTGAATGAGTTGAACGATGTCCGGTAAAGTAGATGATTGTTGATGAAGTAGCTGAAGAAGATGCCGACGATGTTGACGAAGAGTGAGATATGCAAGATTCTGTTCTATTGTTAGCGTTCTGCTCCGATTTATCACTACCGTTTGGTTCAGAAGCAATATTATGCCTCGACTCGTGTGTAATATCGTGCGAGTGTTTTTCGACAAAGATGTCGAGCGATGGCATTTATTTTTTTTTGTCTTGCAATCAATCCTTTTTTTTTCCTCAGCACATGAAAGTGATACGTACTTTCGGAAAAAAATAAACGCGCGTTCTCAATTTAATGTGATATTGTGTTTGTTTCTAGAAAGTGTAATTTCGATCGAGTCTGATCAAAGATATTTAATATTCAAATCACCGAATTTTTAAACTACAATAAAATCCGAGAAAAATTTTAACAATCAAAAGAAAAATATCATTTTTTTATCGCTATTGATCATTTATACACAAATAATTATCATTATCATCATCATCATCATGATGTTTTTTCCGCCTACCCCAAAACGGTCCTCGTCGTCGTTATTCTTCTCGAATATTTACAATATAAAAAAAGTAATATAAAATAGTATGGCGTGTATGTTTCTAGAACACAATTGCTGGTATTAGTAACGATCAACTCTTATTTACATAAATATGAAGTCATTAGTCCAACAAAAATAACAGACAGTGGGCAAGCAGTTTGTTAGATTGCTGCCTGTTTTTTTTGATCTCATGATCAGTATAAAAATAGAGAACAGATAAATTGCGAACGTGAATGGACGAATGGAGGAATTATAAGAAAATGGTATGCGACCAATTAATTATTTATTTATTTATGTGCTTATACTTGTGTTTTTCATTTATCCTCTTGATTATCTTGCATTTTTCGATTTCTGGAGGGGTGTGACTTGCGTGACGTCGCGTAATTGGGTCACAAGATATCTCATCCATACTCTGTCTGTTTTAATAGGGGTGTGAAAGTGATGATTTATTCATCTTTTGACTTTTGTCAAGAATGTTGGCGAGTGGTTCTTTTTATTGATTTCTTGGGAATTTCAGTGCAGCTAGTGATACGAAAGATAGCGCACTTTGTCATATTTTGAAAGGGAAGTTTGACAAGGGGTGGGAGTTTGAACATTGACAGCGGGATATTATTTCAATTGTGTCCGTGTGACCGCATGCATGCGCTAGACCATAACGATCCGTATACAGTCAAATGATGATATCATAGAATGAATCGACCGAAGTACGTCACTATATTGTAAATATTGTATATGTTGCTATAATACGTAGAAGTGCATCTTAAAAAGCAATAACTTTTCATCTTGTTCGTAAATTTTACCAATATCACAAAAATCTGTATCTTTCACACATAACACAAGAAAATAAATAATTAAATTCAAAAGTTTCAATACACATAAATTAAAGAATATGTCAATTTACAACCGGGAACTAATTACTAATGAAAAACCAGTAAACTTGACGGGCACAGGTACTAGCAACGACGAGCTAAACACTAAGGCTACATCAGTAAAATTGGTAGGTTCAGGTGCCAGCGACGACGAAACAATCATAGACCTGGATTCACTTTCAAGCCAATCATCTTCTAAGAGCAGTCAAGAACAAAACGGAGGCATAATCAACGAGCACTCCAAGTCTTGTCGTTTTATAAGTACACCGCAACAAGATCTCGATCGTTATTCACAAATAAATAACGACGAGACTAATACAAAAACAACTTTAAATACTCAAAAACCATCGCGTCGTCAAAGTTTCTTTAAACGAAGACAACAATTTCGAAGTCAAAGTTTCTTTAAAAAAAGCTTCTCAGAATTTCGTAACAAGAGAACAGAAACATACGATGAAAATGATGAGGTTCCTATTGGTAAATATTAGATGCTTCGTGTTCAGGCGATTGAATAAATTACTTAATGCTCAATCCTTCGTAATTTAGGTTGTTTCGAGTTTATCTCTCTTCAATGGTCAAATTTGCGAGGAAAAAAGCGACCAAGTGACAATGACACATATTACGAACGTCTATCAGTCGGAAGAATGGGAACTGGGTCTTTGGCCCCGGGACAAACGAAACAATCGACGATTTAATTTACCACCTGCAATGATGCGAAAAAAACAAGATGGAGATCTTGTGTGCTCGAAATAGTCTGAGCAACCTTATGTAATTATGTAGACACAAAATCAAAATTTCCTTTTATCTCGATCGAAAAGAACAATTCAATTTTTGGTTTTTAATAGTATTTGTATATATATATTATCTGATATATTGGTATATATTGAATAAAGAAATTTTAAGCTTATTTGGTTAATTTGACACATTCATTAAAACGTGTACATTGATACTTTTCGACGAATAACATTATCATACATGCATAATGACAAGATTTTCAAATTGATCTGTGCTCAAAAGAAAAGTTGGCTTTTCCGAATAAAGAATGGTGACTATTTTCTGAATGCTGCTGCATGTGCTGCTTAAAACTTTGATCTGTTTAAAATCTTGATCTGTTTTGAGATTGGTGGAATCAATAATGATCAAGCCTACGCCTACCAATTATACCAATTACATTTAGTCGTTTAAATTGTTCTGATAGTGTTGCTAACTAGAGATTTGAAGAGACAAACCTTTTGTTGTTATCATTGTTTCGATGATGATATCTCTCTTGTTGCTATCATTGTTTCGATGATGATATCTCTTTTGTTGTTATCATTGTTTCGATGATGATATCAATCGTTTTCTCATACGTATCTATCATAATTATGCTTCTAATAATATCCAATGCGGAGAGTTTTCATATTTCATCGGACCAAGCGAATACAGAAATAAAGGCATTTACGTCAGTTATCATGATGGGAAATTAGGTCTATCGCCAAGTATTATGCGTATATGTTGTGCCCCAAATCACTGAAAACAAGGACACAACATATACATACGTTTATGACACGTAATACGAAACCTTCACGGCGTCCGGAAGTTTGGATCGATAATCGACTCCCTATGGCATATGATCAACAACGAACTTCAGGGGTTCGGTGAGGGATTACCCCGGTTGCTGAGCTTTTCTAAGCTGAGAAGTCTTTTTGGAGAAGGATCTGGAACATTTGGATAGCAAATTAGGGAAAGGCAATCCTTTGTATCCGGAAAAGGTGGTAAAGACATTTGTAAGGAGCATGATAGTTACCGTTTAGAGAACGACTTCTACAGGTGAGTTCTATGTCATAGAATATTTTTAATACGACCAAGTCATAGAGCATAAGATTCAAACCAAAGAGCGAGCATGACTTTGAGATTCTTGAATTTTTGACTTGTTAATATCATTTTTATGTCACATATTTTTTTATGATCAGGTCATTGAAGTCATATAGGCCATAGGACAACACTGGTGACAGGCGAAGACGGAAACTAACTATCTAATAGAATTCAAGAATAATGTTTTTGAATCAACTCACAAAGAAAGCAACTATAATAAGAATAAGAGATAAAATTGGTAATCAGAAATTATTCAATGTAAAAGATAAATATAGCGATAGTAATACGATGTTAATACTAAATTTAAATTTGGGTTTCAAACGACATCCAAAATGAATCGATACTATGTTAAAATACAGCTAATGCAAGGGTATCGTTGTATCTATCGAACGTTCATCGCTCATGTGCATCCGGAGGTCGATCACCGACTCAACTTCCGGATTTTCGGGTTACTTGAATAAAAATATATAACGATAACGATAATGGCATCATAATTTCGTTATTTAGAATACATAACAATAAGAAATTGTATCATCTAAAAGCTCCTATGACGCTATTAGTCAAAATAACATCAACCACAAATATCCTTTTTTAGTCAAAAACAATAGTCAACCCCAATGGATTATTTTTAGTATTATTATTATGTGTATCTCTGATGTCATTACGACGACGATACTACAGTTATATGTGTGTGCGAATAGATCTTTCGAGATCATGGTAATCTCAAGGAGTTCACGACTTTTGGTATTTCCTTTTTTTGATATATTGTTTTATAATAATAGTAAACGGAATATCTTTTTGTTGCTTGCTAAATAAAATTAAATGAAATTATTCCCGTATTTTGTAATAGTAATTTCTGCAGATGTGGTTCTTTTATGACGCAAAAGCTATAATGAACATAAATCCAGCAAAATGTGCTACCGACTTTTTCCGAAAATATAAAATTTGATGGACAGGAAATTTCCTATAAATATGAAGGTTTTTTCAATTTAAATTCCAAGTTAGTTTCGGGAGATTTATTAAAAAAAACAAACGTCAAAAGCGACAACAAAAACAGAGAAACCAAATTCAAATTCAAATTCAAATTCAAACTGATATACAAATAATCAATACAATGAGTGCAGAAATCACCTCCAGACCAGCTTCCAATCGACAACAAGAAAAATACAATACAAACCCACACAGACCAACACCGGTATCAAGACCATCACCAATTCTCCGACTAAATTCGAATAACGTGGTTCCAATGACCCCACTACCAACATCGTCGTCATTAGCATCATCATCATCACCACCACGTCGACAATATCATTATCAGTCACCACCACAACAAAAAAGGCATAAAAGTTTTTTGCAACAACGAATGTCTGATATAATAAATCGAAGATCGGAGACGTATGGGAAACCGGATGAATTTGCGGATGTTGGATGTCGCGCTTTTTTGCGAATTATTTTTTGTAGAGTGAGAAAAAGTTATTAAAAAAAGACAATTATTATTATTCAATTACATGGACATGGGGGAAATCAGTAGAAACGAGACAAATCGATTTGTCCCTTTTTTACTGACTTCTCCCATATCAGGACAATCATTTTTTTTTGTTTTTTAGCATTATTTATCATTAATACTTAGGTGAATCTTCAACAAAAAAATCAAAAAAGCATTCATTCATTTTTCTTATTTTTTCTTTTATTTTTTCAACGTTCACTACACGCTTTACAAGTTTCTTCATAAAACACCTACAAATTATGCCTTCTAATGCCTTCTAAGCTAACCTTTTGAATATTCCGATTTACAATTTAACATAACATACTTAAGAAAACAATAATTCACACTAGCGTAAACTATATAAGCAAAAAATGTAAAGTGTAAACCTATTCATTATCTCACGCAATGTAATATAATAGCATTTATTAAAAAATTTGAATAAAAATTTTGACATTTAGACTAAAATTGCATTATCTCGGTATTTTTCTGTGAGATGAAGTTAAAAAAGCATTTAACATTTCTCAGGTCTAGGATTGCAACCTAATTACGTCAGATTAATAATTTAGTTACGTCATGCGTTAAGTCATAACGCTAATGTCTGCACCTATATATAGGATCCTTTCCGGATCCAGCAGAAAAGTTGCAAGTAAAATACCGGTGGATTTCTGGAGGTTTTTGCTTACTAGATATCATCACCTCGCAATTACAAATGACTCGCAGATTCAAGCACAATCCGTGCTTAAACGTGTGTTTTGAGAATTTTCAATTGCTCAAGTATAACAAGAACAACTTAGTTTTAAATTCGATAAATATCTCGAAACCTCGAAGATTTCAAGAAACTAAGCAAATTCAAAGACGAAAAATTAACTAATTAAGTAGGGCTGTTAATCGGTCCTATTAAATCATAGGACCGAACTGATTGACGGTCTTATGTTTTACATACCGGACCGTCAACAGCCTAACAGCCCTACGATTAAATAACTTTGAATGAGATTAACCAAGTGATGTTCACGTCCCTGTCCTATGACAACGTTGTTAATATTTTCCATGGCAGAATTGTTTTGGTTTTCTCTAAATTATTAATATTTCTTTTCTGAAGGTATTAACCATATTTTGTTAATGCCGATTTTAGTGCTACACAATGTTGAGATTAACTTGTAGGGACGTGGACTTTCGGACATGTCCGCGTCCACCAAAGAAAATATTAACGACGTTGTGGACATAAACATCAATCACTTGTTGAACTTTCGGACATGTCCCGTGTACAACACTGACGTCATTAATCATAATGATAATGATAAAGGATAGTCATACAAAATTTATTGTTTGCATCACATGGGAGAAGGGACCAACATCTGACGAAAAAATCCGTGTAAAATAAATTCGGGGACATTTTTCACTTACCATAGAAAAATTGTTACCTTAATAAAATTTTGCGTTATTGTTAACGCTAAAGTATTATAAAATCGACCTTGTTCGGATTGCCGGCTGTATGGTGAACTCATCAATAGATTATGAATTCAATAAACTTTTTGACTAAGTAAATAAAAAATTTAACCCATGAATATTATCGAGAAAGGCTATTCTACCATATTCACGGATTAAATTTGTTTACTTCTTATTGATGCTGCGCCTTTCTTCCGAGATCACTAAATACTCGATATAATAATGACTAATTAAAAACTTGATGTAATGATGACTAATTAAAAACTCGATACGACAAGCGTCGTCTTACACGGGGAACGGGGAATTAGTAAATAATCATCAACATAAGAGAGATCAATGCGAATGAGAAAAGTTGCCTTGTTGTTTCTTGAGATGATGATGACGAAATGGTGTGTTGTTTTCGCGATGATATAAATTTTCCTCGATATAATGATTTTTATAATAAATTCTCGATTTTGCCGACTGTATCATTATATCGAGCCTTGACTGTATTGGTTTCCTCATGATTTCTTTGATTTGTCTCCTTTTCCCCATTCCATATATTTTTAGGAATGTGGCAGGTAATTTTTTTTTTACAAATTATTCAATTTTAAAAAATTGAAATCCAGATTTGATTATATTTTTATAACTTGTTTTTTTTTAAAAAAAAAACGTTATAATTTTATTAAACCAAAATTGTGTGCACTAATTTATTATTTGAATGTTAATTGCATATTTTGTACTTATAAAAAATTACACTCAGATTCCAAGTTTAAATCAACTGATTTTTGTGTGTGTTGGAGAGGGGGGAGTCTGCTAATTATCAGACTGTGATATATTATGACTCAACTTGATTAGGTGGCGATGGGAGAATGATTCTATGATAAATGAAAATCATTTGGTAAATGGTGTTTTTCTAATGAAATGAAATAGTTAAATAAACAAAAATATAATCATTATCTATGCTAAAATATATTTCTAATCAGATGTCATATTATTAGAGAACTGCTATGTGCATCATGATAAATTATTATTTTTATCATGTAACTATCATGATATAAAAAATTGTCAGCCCGTAATCTCTGATCTGATCAGTTTACCAAATTGGCCAAGGGATAGATAAGTCATCTATCTTTGCATATGATCTTTATCAAAAAAATATTTTAATATTATTATATAATCTTTATAATCAAATTATTCAAGATCTTTTCTATTTTACACCATATAGTCAATGCAATATTTGTTGATTTAAAGAGCTTAGTTATTGCTATTAGTTCTTGTTTTAATGGTATTCTTAAGAGTATTAAAGATGTTAATTTAATATTTTTATTTTTATTATTAATCTTTTTTTTAAATAAACATTAAGTAAGAAAAAGAGTAGTCACTGTTCTTTTGATAACATTCTACTGGTATTGCTTTAAAGTATTTGAATAAGAATTAAGTAGAAAAGAGAATAATTACTGTTCTTTTTATTGATATTATTTTAATATATTATTATCATTTTAATAGAGCTTTGAAATACTCAAGGGTATTTATGATATTCAAAGAGAAAACTCAAATGTCTTAATGACAATTTACAGTCTTAATAATACTTTATGATTTTAGACTAAATATAATTTAAAGTATGATAAGTACTTATAAAAATCACTTAAAGATTGATAACAGTTGTATTCTTTTAACGCAATAACTGGACTGCTAAAAAAAGTTCTCAAAATCTCAATGTCAAATATAATATACGTATTAAAAATGTCTTTAAATCTTTTAAAGATCAAAATATAAGATATAATATTCATATTATCAGTAATACAAGATCGAAGATAAGTAAATGAACAATGTATTATTAGCAATACAAAATCAAAGATAAGTTTACAAGCAATATATTATTAGCAATACAATCTCAAAGATAGATTTATGAATTATAATAATAATTTCTTTATTTAATATAATGTTTAATAGACTTCATTATAATGTGTTCAGAAAATCTAGGATAAAGATGATAACTTTTATAGTGCTCATAGCAATCTTGCT